TATTTACAAAAGCAGACAGCTGTCTGGACTTGGTCTGCAGGCCATAGTTTGCTGACCCCTGTGTTGGAAGGTTACTATTATTATTAGAAATAGCTACTTTAAGTCATACAGAGAATGTTCTTAGTCTAAAGAGATGTATGTTGATTTTACAGACGAAGTGTCATGATATCTACAACTTATTTTAAAATTCTTAAAATGTAGATAACAGGTAGAGTAAATGCAGCAAAGGGTTAACAGTTGTTAATTTTAAGTGGAGGGTATATAGGTGTTCGTTGTATTGTTCCAACTTTATGTAAGTTTTAAAATCTTAATACTAGAAAGTTGGGAGATGTATATACTTTGAGAAAGGACTCTGCAATGCCAACATTATTTTTTTCTGGATGCTAGTCTGTAGCATTTCCAAGTGATCTTGAAAGAATACAAACAGGCAAAGGTAGTAGGACAGAATTAATGTAAGCCTCTCCAGTTTTCCTTCACCAAAATCATTGCTCCAAGTTTCTGAAAACACCGGGCACCTGCTTTTTATTGTGCTTCTGGTTTTTACCTGCAGTAAAAGTGACATGCTGCAGTCCCTGTTAGAGAATATACTAACAAGTTCATCTGATACTCATTAACCCATCCCCTTATTGTTAAGCAATTAAAACAATCATATTCATTGTCATCAACTATTACTTATTCAGTGTCCAGATTGCAAAGTAGCCCATTAATAATTTGGAGCCCTGTTTATCTAACTCAGCCTTCACATTCTTAAGTCACTCCAGACATTAAGCATGCCCACGAACGGTGGAGTGAGGGAGGGACAGTGAATCCCACTGAAAAGACCCTATAAACCCAGTGAAGGTTAATGGCCTTTCAGCTAGCTACACACATACACCTGCACAAGAATTCTCAACCTTTAGAGGGCAAGAGGGAATGAAGGCTACTTATTTATCTCCACCCTTTCTGCCTCCACAATAATAAAGAATCTGAAGTACTTCTATACTCTTTTTGGTTGGCCTGGGAATGCTCCAGACTGTACTGGATTAAAAATAAACCAGAGAAACACTTTCTCCCATATTTTTAACCACTTTTCCATCAAAGGAAATTTTTTTATATGCTTGCATACAAAGAACTTCAGAGTACTTTATTCGCAATTTTACTGTGGAGGAGTAATTCCCACTTCCCACTTTTAGAAAGTAGAGTGGTGTCTATAAAGTTTGGTCTTTTGGTTATTTTATATTTCTTAGAGCCAGTTTTGTGAGTGTTAGTATAAATGGGGATCCTGGTGTCCACAAAAGTATGAAATTTTACATATTATTTTCAATAACTTGAAAAGCCTGCCATGTACTTTTATTCTTAATAAAGCTGTAATTGCACAGACTAAGACATGTGTTTTGCTTTTAACCAGAGTTAATCAATTTAATACTGCAACACTCCATGTGATACTGATCAGAAAATGTCACTGATTTCTTAGTGGAGAAATAGATAATAAAAGTTCAAATTTGTGGCAACATCAACACATGGGTATGTCAAAGAAAAATGATAAAAGGAGTCCTTGGAGGAGAAAAGATTTATAAATTACTGCCTTCCAGGTAAAACACATCAAGGTTTATTGGCCTTTAAAATCACATAATCAGTTCTGATTAGTTATTATTGAGACTATAGGAATAAGACAGGACAGATAATTGCTAAGAATGAGAGTGGTCTGGAAGAGGGAGGTAGGGGACACCTGCATTGAATATTAGTCTAGATACTTTTGTAAGCAACAGAAACAAACTAGCTCAATTAAGCAGAAAAGGAATTTATTTTATATTTCACCAAATGAACAAGCCTGGAGAGCAAGACCTCAGACATGCATATACTGGTCACGGGGGAAGCAGACACATTTATTAGTCCCTGGTTCAGAGAACACTCTGCAAACCACAGGACAGCACCCCAACCTTCAAAGGTGTTTACTCTTGGCTGGTGCCATACACTGTTTAATGTGCCATTCCAGCATTCTATAGGCTTAGCTTCTGCTAGATAGTAAGGTATATGGGAATATCGGTAAATCACATAGAAATGAACTGATTTCCATGCTTGTCTCAAAGTAAAGTTACTTGATAAGGTACAATGCTGAATGTAATGTCTTGATATCTGTGTGCTGTCTTTTAATATTTTTTCTTTATTGATTTTAGAGAGGAAGAGAGGGAGAGAGAGAGAGAGAAACATTGATGAGAGAGAACATCAACTGGCTGCCTCCTGCATGCCCCCCACTGGGATTTGGGCCCACAACCTGGGCATGTGCCCTGACCAGAAATTGAACCGGCAACTTCCTGGTGCATGGGTTGAAGCTCAACCACTGAACCACATCGGCCGGCCATGATGTCTTTTTTTTAAATCTTCACCTGAGGGTATTTTTCCATTTATCTTCAGATAGAGTGGGAGGGAGGGAGAGAGAAACATCGATGTGAGAAAGACATTGATTGGTTGCCTTCTGCGTGACCCCAACTAGAGCCAGATCAAACTGCAACCGAGGTGTGTAGTGTTGACCAGAACTGAACCCATGACTCTTTGGTCCACAGGCCAACGTTCTAACCACTGAGACAAACTGGCCAGGGCTAGCTTTGTGATTTCTTAATGACATACCATTCACTAATGGATAGTGCTGGTGAATGCATAATGGGCAGGAAAAGTAAATCTAATCTAGTGTCTATTACAGTAAAGATTATCTAATGTCCCTAAAGAGGTCCAATCAATCTTGCATGAGGTGGAATGGGTACCATTTCAGAAGTTTACAGTTGGTCACTCTTGCTGTTGCTGGCAAAACACTCATCCCAGTTTGGTAAGTGGAGGAACATGATGTTGAGCTCATCCCTGACTGCTGTCCCCATTTGTATAGTCACTTTATTCCTGAGCCCACAGAGCAAAAACTGAAGTAGTCCATGAGAAAGACTTCCTAACATCCACAGGACACCCATGACGATTTGGCAAATTATATCTGACGAAAAGTACAATTCCCCAAGCAACCCATAAAAAATAATTGATAACTTATGTGTAATGTTATGAAGGATCCTTCCTTAAAAGTCTCCAATCTCCTGTGTATTTGAAGGGATCTCTGAACAGTGTACTGAGTGGCCAAGGCTTTGTCAGGCCTTCAGAGCAAGAGGGAAAGGGAGAAAGAAAAAGGAAAGAGTGGATCAGAATGGGGAGAGAAAGGGAAGGAAGGAAAGGAGGGAGGAAGAGGAGAGACCTGTAAACATGGTAAAAAACCATAGCATTGTATCCCATGACTCTTACAGGGGAATAAGACATTTTAGTTTGAGCATAAAAATAATGATGGTCTTATGGGCTGAATTTTGTCACCCCAAAATTCATGTTGAAGTCCTAGCACCTGTACCTCATAATGTAGCTGTATTTGGAGGTAAGGGCCTTTGGAGGTAATTAAGGTGAAATGAGGTCATACGGGTGAGCCCCAATCCAATATGACTGGTGTCATTATGAGAAGACATTAGGACACAGACACCTATGGCAGGAAGATCATGTGAAGATACATGGAAAAGCCTGCTATGTACCAGCCAAGAAGAGAGCCCTCTGAATGAAACTAACCCTACTGACACCTTAATTTTGGACTTCTATCCTCAGAATGGTGAGAAAATAAATTTCTGTTAAATTATCCAATCTGTGGTACCTTGTTATGGCAGCCCTAACAAACTAACAAACTAAAAATTCATAAGTATTCACTGATATAAGTGAATAATAAAAGGAGGAAAGGGAAAAGTGCTCCATTAAAGTAGAATTCAGAAGAAATAATATAATTAGAAAAATCACCATTTCATAACCATCATAAGCAAGAATATATATGCTGAAAGTGGCAGATAAAAATTTGATGAGAAATAAGATATTAAAGTCTCCTCATGAACTACAGAGTGAAAGTAACTTTTCAGTGAAGAATCTTGGCAGACACTGCCTCAACTATGTGCCTCTTCACATGAATACACAGACAACATAATGTCTGTGTGTTCTGGCTCCAACTGCGTCACCTGAATGTAATTATGAGGAAACATCAGACAAGCCCAAATTGAGAAGCGTTCTGCGAAATAAATGGCCTGTTCTCTTACAAAATGTTAAGGTCATGAAAGACAAAGACTGAGGGAACGACTATTTATTTATTTTTGGTTTCCTTTTTTTAAAATTGTTTAAAGTATTACAGATGTCCCCCTTTTCCCCTTATTGATCCCCTCCTTCCTGCTCCCACCCCACTACCGCTTTCCCCAACCTAATGTCTGTGTCCACTGGTTGCGCATATATACATATAAATTCTTTGGTTTATCTCTTCCCACCCTCCCACCCCCGATCTGAGGTAACGACTTTAGATTAAAGCAAACTAAAGAGACATAAAACAACTAAATGCAATATGTAGTCCTGGGTTGGACAATTGACCAAAGTTGACCATGAGGGTGGATTAAATAGTACATGTGGCTCTCGTTTCTCGCCGTTAATCAGTTCCTGACTCCACCGCGATAAATTTCCGCGAAGTAGGATTCTTTATTTATATAGTATTGTATCAACGTTAAACTTCCTTGCGGTAACTGTACTGAAGTTATGTAAGATTAAGACTGGCATCGCAAATGCAGTCTACCCATCAATAGCCATTGGCCGCAATCGTCCCCTCCTCTCCCCAGCTATTCAGTGATGATTCAGATGATCCCTCCACCCTCTCCCCAACATCATTTCTATTCCTGCTTTCCTCTCGGCCTTTAGGACACCGTCCACCTTCCCCTCTGCAGGCCCTGTCCCCGTCCTCTTTCTCTCGCCGGCTCTGCGCTCGCTGGCTCCCAGCCCTCGGCGCGGCTCCTTGCCTCTCCAGGTGCGCACCCGCAGCCTGTGCTCCTCTGTGCGCTTGCGCTCTGGCCGCGGGCGCCGAACCGCCAGAGTTAGAGGAACTTCTGTGCTGCAGAGGCCGTCGCGCGGGGTCCGGGGTCCAGCCTTCGGGCGCATACCTCGTGGGGCTGGTACAGGGGCTGCACTCGCCCCCCGGGCCGCACTCCTGCCCGCCACGGCGGCGCCACGATGGGCTGCTCCAGCGGCGCCCTCAAGGCTGGCGACAGCGGCAGGCTCCGCAGCGGTGAGCAGGGGAACCGGCCCCAACCCCTCCGGGGCCAAGGGTTTCGGGACGGCTCGCTCCCCGGGGGGTCCGAAAGGTGCGGCTCGTGCCCACTCCGCCCGGCAGGGGGCGGGCTCCTGCCTGAGGACGGGAGTGGCACCCTGAGCGCAGTGCGCTTCCCTCTCGGAGTCTGGAGCGGCGCTTCTGGACCCAGGGCGGCGGTCTGAGTGCGCGCCGCGCGCGGGGCCTGGGGCCCGGGGCTGGGGATACCCTGGCCGCCCGTGTGCTCCGGGCGTTAGATCCCTAACGCGGCGAGGTGCCACATTCTCTTCAACAGATGAGTAACTTCCTGTCCTTAACGATAGGTGCTATTTAATTTCCCCAAAGTACGAAACTTCAGGTTTAATATAAAGGTGCAGATTCACTGAGAACCATTTGTTTGTAGTCGTAAGGAGAGGTGTATACTGTACCTGTTTTCAGTCAAGACCTTCTCCGCCTTGCCCTTCTGTCTGCGTGTCAGCATTGGCGATGGCAAAGGTGCAGAAATAACAGATGGGCAGTCACTGCTTCAAATAGGTCCCTGCGCTTTTGAAGAGGTCAGATGCACTTTCCCCAATCCTTGGCTTAAGTATTTCTTGACAATCCACACGTGATAAAAAGTGGCCATCACGGAATCTTATAAAGAAATTCAACAAGTATATTTTGAACATCAAGTATACTGTATAATAGCCAGGTGCTTGGCTAGAAGCTAGAGATTCTACTTTTAGAGCTTGGAGGTGGAAGAGACAGGCAATAAACAACTTAAACAAATGATTGAGATTGTTTCTGTCAGTGATAAGTGCTGTGAAAAGAAAGGCAGATTAATGAAGTAGAGAATGACTGTTTTACAGCTGACTCACTTCTTAGATTTTGAATGGCTAACTTTTTGGACAAAGCTCTGAAGGTTAAGCAGATTCCTTCAAGCTAGTTTACAGCCTTCTTCAAGACTAACTTTAGGGGAAATTTTATACTCTGATTAATTCCTTTTCACAGGTCTTCTTTTAGCACCTTGTGTTATTCCGGTAAGAAATATCGTCCTCTCTGATTTTGCAGTAGAGTGAGGGCACATGCTTTCCATGAATTCTAGTTCAAAGTTCAGGCACTGAGTCCCACTCATCATTTTCATGGTCTATGAGAATTTATTTCTGGCTTCAATAGATAACAGAAAGCAGTAAAAAATTTGAAAATAGGCAAACAACTAAAGCCATATATGAAAGTGATTCCAAACCCCTTGTGACAGAATACAATGTGAAAAGATGAAAAACCCATTCCTGATGTACATTGCTTGCTAATCTTGCTGATCTTTCTCCCAAAGAGCCTCTGTACCCCAAATTTGCTCTCAAAAGGCCAATGCAAGGAACAATTTCTTTTATGTTTCATGTTTTATTTTGTGAAATCAGGTCGATAGTGCATTCTGTTTCATGTTAAATCCTTATTGATTTCAATATGAAAATCGGGAAAAATGGGAAAAGTTTTAGGAAGATACACCATATTATTTTGGCTTCCTATCCCCTGCCATGTCCCAAGTATCCTAGGAGTAGCATCCTGGTTTAAACAGCAGAGCATTAAGTCATCATTATAGATTTTTATGTTGATAAACACATGTATCGAAGGGAATGTTGCCCTTGGGGAGGAGCAAAAGTATCCAATAGATGGAATGGGGTGTTTAATTCTCTCATAAAATAGTGAATGACCTTTAAAAAATTTTTTATCACTAATATTAATAACCATACATGAGTCACACATACCCTTTCAGTGTTTATTCATATTTTCATTACTGTTCTAAGTTTACACAGATGTTGTTTTGAAAGAAATGTTAAAATACCTGATAATCAGTTTTAGTGCATAGAAAATTAATTAATGTGCTGCATAATGCACTCAGCACACATTGAATCAATCAACAGGTATTTTGCTTCTGAGCCTCATTCAGACAATACTCTCATGTAATTGGATACTATTGTATGTTCATCACCATTTCACCTCCATGATATTGGAGACTAATAAATAATTCATTCCTGTTTCTGCAGCTCAGAACTTCTTTATATAAAATCTCAAGTATGTATGTGCTTTAAGATAGAAACAGTTCAAGTTTATTCAATGTCCTGTACATACATTTACCTACTGTACCCCCTACCCCCAGCGCCTAACAATGCTTGGTACATAATTGGTGAATGAATTACTTTATTTAATCCTTACAACAGTGCTATGACTAAGCAATATTACTTCCCCATTTTACAAATAAGAGTAAATAATTTGCCCAAGGTTATGGGGCTTCTTAGGAATCAGAGCTGGTACTTGGTAATCACACAGATTTTTACTGAATGCCCTGAAATGTGTGAGAAAAGAGGCTTTTTTTTTTTTTTTCTTCTTTCCAAAAGGACAATTAGATTGAGTTTGGAATTTCTTGTTTGTGGAAGCAAGTTGTAAATTTTAGGGCAATTTCTGTTCTTTTCAGTGCCTCTAGTAGCTGATGGAATCTGAACACAAAGGTTTTGTTGACTTCACAGACTGTGATGGACTTGAATGTCTCCAGCGCTTTGGCACCGGAACCCTCCTCCCAGTGCTTCCAGCCCCCTGTGCATGGTTAACTCTTTCCTAAAATAGATGCCATCCGTCTATGGCAGGCTTCTTCCTGAGGTTTTACAGCTTAAGCACCAAAGTAGACAAAGTAAATAGATGGTAATTATTGACAAATTCATTGCTAGGTTAATGTGTACATTTTCGCCAGCTGGTCGTTTGTTTGTTCTAGCCTGAACCCTCACTAGCTGCTTGGAATCTCTGCTGCCTAGGCAATAGTGTGAGGCTTGAATTTCACACAGTTATGTCAATTGTTCTTTGTGTTGTGGAGATACCTTCAGTCTTCAACCAGTATTTTCACACAGTGAATTTTAGTCCTAAATAGACATTTTTGTGTGTGTGTGTAATTGAAGAACAAACAAACACTAAGGCTAACATGATTTTTTTTTTTTATCCTCACCCTAGGACATTTTCCCATCTTTGTTCAGGTAGAGTAGGAGGGAGGGTGGGAGGGAGAGAGAGAGAAACATCGTTGTGAAAGAGACACATCGAGTGGCTGCCTCCAGCACAACTCCAACCAGGGCTGGGGACAAATTGCACCTGAGGTATGTACCCCTGACTGGAATCGAACCCACAATTCACTGGTCCCAGGCTGATGCTCTAACCACTAAGGCAAACCAGCCAAGGCACTAACATGAATTTTTATAGTTTTTTCTTGATATTATGTAAATGGGATTTCTTTCTTTTAAACGCCAGAAGTCTCTAGACTGAGTCTTATATGTCTTCGTGTCACCTCTTGAGCCTAGCCCTCAGAGAATGCTTGGTAAGTGTTTGTGGTAGGTTTGGTTATTATGTACAGCTAATTAAAATGGAATATAAGGCCCTGGCTGGTTTGGCTCATTGGTTAGAACCTTGGCCTGCGGACTGAAAGGTGGTGGGTTCGATTCCTGGTTGAGGGCATGTCGTACCTGGGTTGCAGGTTCACTCCCCAGCCCCGGTTGGGGTCGTGCAGGAGGCAACCAATCGATGTGTCTCTCTCACATCCATGTTTCTCCCTCTCTCTTCCTCCCTTCCACTCTCTCTAAAAATCAGTGGAAAGTATCCTTGGGTGAGGACTAACCAGAAATAAATAAATAAATAAATAAATAAATAAATAAGGAATATAAGAACTGCACACCTAGCTCAAAAATTGAAAACATTTGAAAAATGCATGCAATGAAAATCATACCTCCTACCTCAGCCCTACCATCTGCTTAGTTCTGATCTCACCCAAGAGTAAAATTATTTTTGTTTTTTTGTATATTCTTTCAAAGTTTCTTTATACATTGCAAATATTATTTCTCTCCCATCTTTATTCATATAATTAGTGCATTATAACCATTAGGCTTCACCTTATATTTTTCACCTATCAATATGGAGATCTTTCTATATGGATATATAGAGAACTTCTTTCTCCTTTTTTACACTTGTTTACTAATACATTGTATGATTTATTTAACCAATCCCCTATTGAGGGGCATTTGATTTGTTTTCAGTCTCTTCCTGTTGCAAATGGCTGCTATGGAATTCCTTCATATACACATCATTTTGAATATGTGCAAGCGTAACTGTACGAGTTTCCCAGAAATGGCATTATGAAGTCAAAGTGTATGCGCATTTATAATTTTGATAGATAACTGCCTAAATGCCTTCCGTAGGGTTATACCAATTTGCACTCTCATCAACAGTACAATAAATCTTTTTCTAAAATGGAAGGTTTCAGTGCAGCTGCATGAAAACATGGGCATGGAGCAGGAGTCAGGAAACAAAATGGGAGCACCCACTTGGTTCTAGATACTTTAGTCTATGATCTCATTTCATTTCCACAAGAGCCATACACAAAGCAAACAGTATAACCAAACACAGCTAGAAAACTGCAGCTTAGTGAGGATAAGTAACTCGCCCGAGGTCTCAGAGCTAGCAAGTGATGGAGCTGGGTGGGGATTAAGCCTCATATCTGTGACTCTGAAGCCCCCCCTCTTCTCACAAACTCCAGTTCCATCTGGGGTCTAGGTCTGGTTCTGCCGGAGCTTGTCATGTCACCTTATACATAGGAGAAATGCAATCTGTTCTGTAGAGTGGGTGGATGATGGCTGAATGAATGGGTCAACAGAGATGGGACTCGGGGTGAGAGTAGTACTTAGAAAAGCAGAGAGAGAATAGGAATTCCACAGAATAACAGAAATTGGAAGGTAACTCTGGTCAAGATGGGCTTGAAAAGAAAGTGTCGAGTTGTTACGAGGGTCTCCTAGTCACACAGGAAAAGGTCAACACAGCGAAACAAAGTTTTATTGTGTTCTGTTAAATCATGCTTCTGTAAGGTTGCCACATGTCCCGGCTCCTGTGTCCAGTTTCACTTACGTTAATGTTTTACAACATCAAGTTTAAAATAAAAACTTAATACTTGCTGGGGGTTACTGAAAGCC